CATAGGGAACAAAAGATTGAGGTATCTGGTGTGCTTTACAGCATCAGCACTAGGCAAAAATAAGCAGAAGGGTTGCATTCAGAAACTAAGCTGCCTTATGAAATGCACATTTTTTTCAGGCAGAAAAATGTTTTAGTAAACTGATAATAAGGGAAATGGAATTCAGAGTCTGCCAGCAGCTGAGTATTTGTGGTAAGGAGATGGAAGAGGTGCGTGAATGTTCACAGACCACCTGGGAACTGAGTGGAGTGGCTAACTGTGCAGGGAGGTGGTGCTGAACAATACCTGGAAAGTAGGGCTGTGCAAAATTTCACCAGCTGTTTCATTTCAACACAGTTTTGACTCATTCTGAGCTTGAAACAGCAAAATCAAAACTAAATGAAGGGCTTCGAAACAGCCTTGAAACAAAATGAGGGCAGTCGAAACATTTCGAAAGGTTCGAAATGTTTGGGGTTTTGAAGCAGCCAGACAGATGGTGAGAGACAGGGAAGAACAGGGCTGTGCTCCCAGTGGCTCCGCAGCCCCATGTGGCTCAGCCCAGTGGGGAGCACAGCCCTGGCTTCCTCTGCCTCCTACAGCTGGGCTGCACTCAGTGGGGCTGGCAGAGCTGATGGGAACATAGCACTGGCTTTGCCTGCCTCCCGCTGCCAGGCTGCAGTATGATCAGCTCCGCCAGCCTCGTGGAGTTCAGCTTGGTGGCAAAAGGGGGGCAGAACTGGCGCTGCGCTCCACCTCCTGCCACGGGGCTGAGCTCCACGGGGCTGTGGGAAGCCATGGGGCTGGGGAGGGAAACTCAGCCGGGCTGAGCTCCCTTCCCCAGCCTGATTGCAGCCCGATCGAAATGTTGAAAAAGCGTCAAAACAGTGAAACTGTTTCGACAGAACGGAACAGTGCTTTCGAAACGAAACAAAGCTCAAAACGAAACACTGTCCCATCAAAACGTTGAAACAGATGTCGAAGTGGAACACTGCTGTTTCGCACAGCCCTACTGGAAAGCCTGTTTCGTATCAAACACAGGATTTTTGTTTTCCACAATATTATTATCACCAGGCCAAGTCCAAGCCAGATCACTTATACGCTGTGCTTAGCTTCAGCATAGGAGGAGAAGCAGCATGGCGCTGGCTCTGGGGCTCAAGCTTACCTGGCTTCCAGATCCCCTCCTGCCCACAAGTTGCTCCATGTCTGTTTTTTGTACTGTGTTTCTTGTTCCTCTTCCCTTTTCCTCCAAACTCACTAATCTCTGTTTTCTATTCCGGGGTTTTAACTACTAGTGGAGTACTTCCTCATTAGTTAACTGCTCACATCTGGACTTAGGGCTTTCAAAGGACCACACTGCTCTGTCACAGGCTGCTGAGCATTAAATCTAACTGAGCTTTAACCGGTAACCTCATCTGAGGTAGCCACAAGCTCCCTCCACACCTCCTGAAAGGCTGACCTTGATATGAAGGGAAACGATGAACAAGGAAGGACATATTGTAAGGCCTGACCTGTGGCTTGGTGGTTTGAACGCTGTGCTGGGAAGAAGATATAGAGAGTTCAATACTCTCCTGAGTGAGATGAGAACAGGAAGGACATATTGTTGGACTTTCTCAAGAGCTCTGGCATTAGAGCTGAGAGAGAAGGTATGCTGGAGGGATGCAGAAGGATCTGGGAAGTGCACCCAGGTGTCATACAGCTCCTCTGCCAGCAGATTCTGATGCTTTGAAGTATTAGGGAGAAAAACATACAAAAGCTCCATGTTACCAGCCATTACAGAGAATAGATGATGACTCCTTCCCGAGGCCTGTGCCATAGCAGCACCAGTGTGCCCTGCAACACTATTGCTACCCTCAACCCAGAGGGAAAATAAGGAGATCTGCTCTGGCTATACCTGCTCTGACGGATGAACTGTCCCTATGTCCCCCTGCTGTACAGTACTCTCTTTTCCTGTGCACTTAATCCCCTTTAGTTGTGTGCCAGGTGCAGGTGGAGTGGCCGATGCAATGCTGCTCTGTGAAAGCTGTACCCTAGTTTGTTTATTTTACAATCCAGAGATGTAACTCCCTGCAGATCAATAGCCCTTCAGCTATTTGCTGAATATTCACAAACACAAAGCAGTACATTATTTGGCCATGGCGCACTGTCAAATTGAGATCTTAAGGCCTCCCTCTGCCCGCAGTCCCTTGCTGCATTCTGCCTGTGTGTGCGGGCCAGGCTGCTTAGAATCAGCAGACACTCATTTCATTTCTTCTTCCCCTCCCTGTGTCATTTCCCCCTGGGTTTTGCAAACATTATGCAAAGCACAACATGCAGCAACCACAATAAGAAGGCTTGTCTTGCTGAGATTCAGCTGAGACAAAAATATTTCCAGTGTTCTAACAAGCCGGCAAATGCATGTGCCAAATATGCTTGCTTGGGTGACAGTTCAGCATTTTCTGGCTGCCATCAAGGTGCCCAGCAAATAGCTTGGTGGCCCAGAGAAGCAACTGGTATTACAATGGTACCAATGTGACTACACTGGTCTGTGAGAAGTCTCTTTGCTTGCAGCTTTCCTAGAAGTCCTAGGGTTGCCAAAGAAGTGTACACTTCCTGTGAACATCCAGTTCTGATGCTAAGTGGGTCACAATCTCTGTTTGAATCTATTCTGGTAGGTTTTTGAAACGCCAATGCGCCTACGACACACAACACAAACGTGCTCGTGTGCTTGCGTGTAGCAGTTACGGATTACGGTGCTTAGACTTTACGTCACAAAGGCAAATGCACATTACTATTACATTTTAAAAACCCACTGGACTGCTGTATACACTGGATTCAACATTTAATATTTATTTTAATGAATGCCCTACCATTTATCTCCTGGGTGACTCTCAGAAGTCTGCTGGAGATTTAAATTGAATTCCTGGAGACTCCAGGGTAATTCTAGAGGGTTGGCAATCCTGGATGCTAGTGTTGTTGCTGATCCACCAAGGCTGAACAAGCATGAAAACATACCCCTTTTTACCTACACACTCAGCATCATGGAGATGTATCCTGCCCATCACCCCTCCACATATTGGAAACCTATTGATTTCCAACAGATGCACCACATCAGGTGCATCTGTTATGCAGTGCACACTGCCCAGAGTCACAGGGTACATGCAGCAGGTTCATTTAACTCCTTAATCGCAACTGCTGTCACTCTAGTTTTTCCATTAAATTGGTTGCCGACTGGTCAATAGCTGTGCATGTCTCCAAGCTTCTGAAGAGAAATTACCACCTGTTTATCCTCTGTCAGTTCTCAGGTTAGTGTCTGTGCTAGAGTCCCTTGGGTGAATTCAGCACATAGCTCCAGAAATGTGTCTTCCTACTGCTGAAAGCTGAGTGGCCAATAGTGGCCAACACAACCTGTCACCATACTGCACCCACAGAGACAGCCATGGATGAATATACCGTAGGAAAATAGCAATGGAAGTGGCTGTGTGTTTGCTTGAATACAACTGGGAAAACTTTCCAAGGCAGCAGTGCCTTTGGTTGGACAGTTCTTGGGGAATTTTGCTCTGCTGCCTCTCATTTCTTTCCTGTAGAGGGACTTCCCAAATGTCTCCAACCAATTCCCCCCCCCATTTCTGGTCTCCAAGGGTGCTTGTACACATGACGAGGGTTTAGTCCTCAGGGTTTTATTCTATGCCCTCTAAATTGAAACCATGGGTTTTTAGTTGAAACCCACCATTTCAATTTTTCCATCACATGATGGCAAGGGGTCCAATCTTTTTTATTTATTTTTTGTTAGAGCCAGAACCTGCCCATGGTCAGCAGGCAAGCTGACAGCAGGCCGACTGGCCCCTGAGCTGCAGAAGTCTCTGGTCCTTCCATGGTGGTTGCGCCCCCCGGGGCCACCCAGGCAGGCTGCTAGCGAGCCAGGTGCTGCCCCAGCTCAGAGGCAGAACCTGGCCTGATCCAGCTGTTCCCAAAGCTTGCTCAGGGAGCAGTGCCCGGCGGGTTTCCACTGGGTGGGCTTGGGGAACGGTTGGATCAGGCCAGGTGTTGCCTCCAAGCTGGGGCAGCACCCAGCCCACTAGCAGCCTACCTGGCTGGCCCCGAGATGTGCCACTGCCATAGAGAGAAGGACCAGGGGCTCAGCCTACTGGCAGCTCACTCCCTGGCTGGGGGAGAGGTGGGCAGGCTCTGCCAAAAATAACCAAAAACCAAACAAACAAACAAAAAGGATTGGGCCCCTTACTGCTTTTGCCTTCAGCAGGCTCCTGTGGCCAGCAGGACCCTGGGGCCACCCAGGAACAGGCTGTCTTGCCCCTGGGGCAGCGCAGGAAGGCAGCTGGGTTTGCTGATGGTGGGTATGGTGCATGGGGTTCTGGAAGCCCAGGTGGGCTCAGGGAAGTGTTGGACTGGGTGCTTCTGAGTTGGGGCAGCACCAGGTCAGCTAACAGCCCGCTTGGACTTCCAGCACCCCATGCACCATCCCCACCACCAGTAAACCCAGCCACTCCCCTGCCACCTTTCTGCACTGCTCCAGGGGCAAGCCAGCCTGTTCCCAGGTGTCCCCAGGCTGCAGAAGCCTGCTGAAGGCAAAAGCAGTGAGGGGCCCCATCCTTTTTCTTTTCTGCAGTGCCTCTTCCGTGGTCGGGGGGCGAGCTGACAGCTGCACCATTGCAATTTGCAACATCGCCAACTAAACTGCATTGGGATGGAGTTTAGTTTGCAATGATGCAAATGCACTTTAAACCCCCAAAACTCTTGCACGTGTACAGCATGATGCACACCAAGTGACATTTTCATCACGTGTACATGGTAATGGTGTCACATATGCAAGTACCCCAAAGGCTCTTTATTCTTTTGTTCCAGTGCAAGGATCATGTTTTCAAATGTTAATTTGAATGTACAGGCAGTCCTCGACTTACAATGTTTTGAGTTACAACATTTTGTACTTACAACATTTATAAATTAACACCCTGTTTCAACTTTATGACGTCAGTTTTGACTTACAATGCTTGATCCGATGCAACGCCACACCAGCGAACACATTTGCCGTGTCGCTCATCTCCCTGGAGAACATCTGTCCAAACTTGCTTGGACACTTTCTTTGAAAAGCAGACAAGACTCCAGAAAAACCTGCAGCCAGGACTCCTGAGAAGACTCCAGCCAGGAACCCTTCAAAAGGTCCAACCACAAGCCCTTCAAAAAGTCCAGCAAAGTAACCTCCAAGAAGTCCTTCCAAATCAATATAATTGTTATTTACAATATAAATACATTAATGTAGCTATATTACTCATCTATAATTAATTAATACAAAATTCTGGGGTATTTTTGGTGAAAATAGGGTATCGGGCCTTGGTTCAGGAACCAATCCCCAATTTATAACATAGTTTCTAATGAGAAAATTTGTTCTGAGTTACAACATTTCGACTTAAGACCCGGTTTTCAGGAACCAATTGTGTGGTAAGTCCGAGGACTGCCTGTACCTCACTGCTTGCCTTCCACCAGAGTTTAAAGGGACACGGCTCCTGGACAGATCTGACAGGTTGTCACTGGACACAAGGAGGAAATGCAGCTGCCTTAAAAGATGGGGTGAGACTGTAGTCTCATCAGGATCATAAAGAAAGGAAATGGGACTCTAGAAAATGAAGTTCAGTGCAGGAAAATGGAAAGTAGTTCCTATTGGAAGAAAAAAGATCAAATGTCCTAACATAGGAGGGGAAAAGCCCAGTGATAGATGGACACTGTGACCCCCACGGAGAGAAGTGAGACGCTGAGATGTGTGAGAGTAGAGTCACATGGCATATCCAAGGCCATAGTGTCATCTTGATAAGTGGAGAGAGGTACAAGGGCCATGTGTTCCTGTCTGCAGCTAAGGGGGAATTTACAGGAACTGAAGTCAGACAGAGAAACTCATGTAAACCCCCAGGCCTCAGCTTGCCTCGGGTACATTGCATGTTCTGGTCTAAACTGGCTGAGGAAGGAACCAAACAAAACTGAAAACTGGGGGGGAAAAAAAAAGACTCAGCCTAACATAGGAAGGGAAGTGATGCTTGAACACACATGAGATGATGATGCACTGACCCTGGAGCTGAGAACAGCAGTGTCAAGTAATGGCCCTGGCAGAGGCATACACTGGTGACACAAAGCCCCTGGCAAGGTTGTCCTGCAGAGGAACAAGCTTATTTATTGCCTTGTGCTAGGTCTTCTCTGCAGTGTTCCTGCCCTAAATAAATAAGCTTTAAGAGCTGGCTGGATACTGATTAACTGTGCCATTGTCTCTAGCAGAGCAAAGCTGCAGGTACTCAATGGGTGTCAGTCCTGCCAGCATGCAAAGGGAACCACAGCCCATAATCCTTACCTTAAAAAAGAGCGGTATAGTATGGGCTTTTGCCCCCATAAAAGACAGGGCTGTGCCAGGCTCCGGACAAAGCTTCGGATCTGGAGAAGCTACGGATGCTTCGGGGTACGAAGCAGCATGTCTGGGTCGAAGTGCTGCCTCGTTCAGCTTCCCGAAGCTCTTTGGAGCCACCTCGGAGATCTGGCTGTAGGGTATAATGGAGAAAAAAAAATATCTATAACTGTTGTTTTTTGTCTGATTTGGATGAGATGTTTAGGGGTGGTAGACTCTGCAGAGAGAATGAATCCTGCCAAGTTTCAAGAAGATCGGTGCAGGGGCTTGGGGGGAACTGCCCCTCAAGCTGTGGACAAGCAAAACTGGTGCCATGGGTGCTTGTGGGACCGACTGTCTGTCTGGGGGCGGGGAGGGGAGACACTGCTGCAGGCCTGGCTGCTAAGCTGCTGTGTTCCCAGTTACCAATCAATCACTCATGATTCACTCAGGGACCAGGGACTTGGGGACCAGCTCAATACACAGGACCTAGCTACTACATAACGACTTAACCAGCATCAATTAGCACCTACAACACCAGGCTAAGGAGAGGAAAGAATCAATACAGACAATCAACTGCCCCAGGACAGACACAGTCTTGGCACGAGTTTTGTCTGTCAGCAGCTAGGGGTGCAGGGCCCCAGGACCCCCCTGCACTGATCTCCTCCACAGCTGGCAGGTGTCACAGCAGGGGCCACCATCCCTGCAGCTGTCACCCCGCTGCGCCTGAACACACGCAGTGTCACCCATGGCACCAGTTTTGCTTGTCCGCAGCTTGTGGGGCAGCTCCCCCCAAACCCCTGCACCGATCTCCTTGAAACTTGGCAGGCTTTGTGGCCTCAGTAAGAGCTACCACCCTGCAGTTTTGACCTCTCTGTGTTGTAACACAGCTGTGACATGAGTGTGGCTTTCAAGAATTTGTGGTACAGTCCCCCCCCAAACCCCTGCACTGATATTCTTGAAACTTTGCTGGTTTCATGCTCTCAGCAGAGGCTACCATCCCTGCAAGTTTCATTCAAATTGGAGAAAAAACCCAAAGTTATAAATATTTAATTGATTCCCCATTATACTCTATGGCCCCATTTCTGAGGCGGCTCCGAAGCTTCAGCTGAATTGAGGCAGAAACCCGGTCGGAGCTACAGATCAGATCGCGGCCATCTGAAGCAGCCAGATCCGAAGCCAGATCGGATCGCTGCCAACTCACACAGGCCTAATAAAAGACCTAACTGATCAGAGGTGCAATAACCATAAAGCTATAACCACCTTTCCCAATAGGCCACATAGCTTCCCTGTCTTAACTCCCTACACTGCTGCCAGCCATGGAACAGCTACAGCTCAAAGAAACTCTTGAATGCCCTTTTTATCACAGGGCCTGAATGCAGGTCATAGGGGGATCCCTGGAGATGTTCAGTGACTTGCATGCAATGGGCAGGGCGAATGAGTTAAATCAGATGGAACAGGACACAGCGTGTCCGCAAGCACCTCCACAGCTGCCTCAGGGGCTGGATGCTCTTTTCTCCTGACAGTGGAAATCCAAAGCAACTCTGCTGAAGTCACTGGAGTGCCTTTAGGCTCACATAGCTGTAACTGGAGGACATAAGCTGGTCCCAGCACTCTTTCAAAAGGAAGAGTGTTGTCCAACAAACTCCTTTAAAACTGAAATCCACACCAGTTAACATCACCCTCCCCCTCTCTCCCAGTAACCTGAGATTGTTCCACTGTAAAGTCATCGTAGATGAATTCAATCCCCATTGCTTTGTTCTAGAAATGCACACCGTCTGGGACCCATTCCAGTTCGACACTTGCACCTGGCACGTTATGGGTGTCATGAGAACTGCGTGGCCTGCCAGTTTGGAGGAGAGAGAAAATAGATCAGTGGAGCATCCAGTGGGAGGCTCTCTCTCTAGCCTTCCAGCAAGGAAAACACCCAGGCTTTCTTAGTATCATCAAGTCCTTCTTCAGGAGAGGATCTCTAATCACACACTTAGACTGTTCCTTTTAATAGAGATATGTCATTTTAAATTCAAGGAAAGGCAGAGCAGCAGTGGGGTGGTAGAAGGGGTTGCTGGAAATCAGCTGGTTACTGGTAGACCAGTCTGTGGGTGCCGAGATGCTGTTTCTGAAGATTCAGCCGATACACATTACACTCAGGCTCCAATCTTGTCTCGTCTGACAATCTGCCTCAATTGCATCTCCTGGTGGAAAAAACCCTTAACAGAGAGCAAAGCAAGGACATCCACTGCTAGGAGTCAGAGGCTCAGGAAGGGAAGTGCCAGCTGATGGTTAGAATAACAGTTTAACAGCTTTATTTTTTTAATCTGAAAAACTGCATGTGGCCGAACGAATGAGAGAAGAGTCTGCTGTGGTTAATGCTTGGGCACTAGAACATCTAAAGGTGACTTTGTGCCAGTTTCTGGCTTGCCTTACGTGTAATGGTTGCCATGGTATGAATCCCTCTTCCCCTCCAAACTGGAACCCGTTTCAGCAAAAAAGTAATACTTTCAAATGTTCCACTTGTCATCTGAAGAAAGACTGGCTCTAACGAAGATGGCTGTCTCTTGGCCCTCTGTGTTTCCAGTGGGACTGAAGCTGCATGTTGGCTTCACTGGAAACACTCATGCCCTGTGATCCATAGATAGGTTAGGACAGGGAGGTAATGCATGCCCTGAGCTGCTGCTTGCTTAGTTCTAGGTCTGAAAGTCTGATTAGCATATGCAATGCTAATTTGTGCCTTGATATAATTAACACCACTAACTAAAAGCAAAGCATAGGTTTCACAGTTTAGGGTGACCGTTTTATAACTCATGTCAGCAAAAAGTTTAAAAGGATGAGGTTTAACAGTCTGAAACAGCAGGATGCAAATAGCAGCCTGACATGAAAACAGCCACTGTGGAAGATAATTAGTGAATATTTATGGCATACATGGAAACAGCCACTGTGGAAGATGATTAGTGAATATTTATGGCATACATGGAAACAGCCACTGTGGAAGATGATTAGTGAATATTTATGGCATACATATAGAAGAGAACTGTAAAAAAAAAAAAAGTATATAAAAACCTTTAAAAAAAAAAACCCAGCTTAAAAGTGGGGGAAAGTGATACACAGGAAAAGAAATAACTATTCGAACCCCAGGGCGGTGACAGATGTCTGGCCAGCTGAACTCACTGTATTCATTAGAAGGATTGCATAAGAATTTCTATGTTGACTGCTAGGGCTTGCTTAAAATGTAAGTGTTGTATTTAAAGCCTTGCTTAAATATTAGTATTGCTTATGTGTTCAGTAAATTAGGATGTGTGCACCCCCTACGCGTCACCAATGGGCTAAGACACGTAGAGCTGAAGTTTGCCCAGATTCTGCTTCACAGTGAAAATGAGGTCCTCACTACTACCATACCCAGGAAATTTCAAACCGCAAAACAGATTACATAATTCAAAGCTAAAAATGGACACAGTTCAAAGAAAGAAGACTGTGGTAATGGGATGAATTTCTCTCTCTCTCAAGGATTCTAGAAGGGATCAGGTTAAAATACCATCCCATATAGCCAAATGCCCTCACTCACCTTATTTGCAGGGAGGGAGAACAAGGTTGCAGTGGGCTGGCTCAGGTGGTGCAAGGAATGGTCTATAACCCCTCAGGGGACTTGGCTGCTGAGTTGTGCTCACTGATGGAGCCTTTCTGTCCTTGTGGTGGAGGAAAGCCTTCTTGTGCCTGTGTTTGACCGTTAAGGGCCCAGCTTTCAGGACAGCTCAACTCTGGTTTGAGAAGGAGCCACATTTTCGCAGAGCACAGCACTGTGAGAGTATGTGCTGAGCAACTTGGCCCCAGCTGTTATGCTTAGCTGGCTTGAATATCCGTTCTGAAAAAGGGAAGGAGCATACATCCAAGTATATTCCCAATGGACGCTAAAGCCTCTGTGTGCCGGGAGGGTCCTTTCTTTGGATGGCTGCTGCTCCCAGAAGCCTGTCCAGGGCACCGATTCACTGGGCCCCGAGGCCAGCTCCACAAGACGTTCTGCTCTCCTTAGGCAGTGGCCACAGTGCAGAAAACTCCTGGCACAGTGATGTCAACAAGGGATCTCTGAGCTGCAAAGCTGTGCCGGCAGAGCCTCTAGGAGCCAAACTCTTTGTCATCTTGTAGTGGGCTAGAACTCCCTTGGGCAAACTCAGGAGCCAGTTTCCTCCGAAATGCCAGTCCATTTATTAAAAAGGCAATCAGGACTCATAGTAGATATGATATCTTTTATTAGACCAACAAGATTTTTGGGGGAAAAAAAAAGGCTTTAATTGCAAGCTTTCAGGCACAAACACCCTTCATCGGGCATTGGAGAAAAGAACAGTTCTCCTGGGGAGAAATGAAAGTTCATATTTTATTTCTAATAAAACGTATCATGATTTCTAATAAAAGATAGTCTAGTAAGAAATATCATCTCTACTATGAGTCCTGATTGATTGCCTTTTCCTCTAGACCAATACGGCTACAACCTGGATACCTGACACATGGAAGATATCAAATTTTAGCTGATTTTTTAAAATGAAGTCTTCATATTTTCCCAAGCAGGAAGCAACTGTGACCACCTGAAACCTGAGATCCTGCTCCTGCCTTTGTTTCAAGGTAATTTGTGTCATCACAGATCGTCACAGGAGGTGAGAAGCTTCATATCGACTATGAACTGACTGTCTAGAGGAGTTTTCCATCTATTTACCCCTCTGTGAAATCCTTTGAAATATGAACTTTCATTTCAACCCAGAAGAACTTTTACAATCTTTTCTCCAATGCCTGGTGAAGGGCCAAAACCTTGCAATTAAAGAATTTTTTTACAAAAATCTTGTTGGTCTAATAAAAGATATCATCTCTATGAGTCCTGATTGATCGCCTTTTCCTCTAGACCAATATGGCTACAACCTGGATACCCGAGTCCATTTATTATACATAGAGAAAGCTTCTCATCACAGCACACAAAACAAATACAGGTGCAAAAAACAAACACAAAAATCAAACCTCTAGTCTGCCTTCAACCCTGGGGGAACAATACAGTTCATATACTCCTCTTTAAAGATCAGTCTCCTCTTTTTCCTCCCAGCTTCCCTTCCTGAGAGCATTTCACTTCTGAGCCCAGCCTATCATCTCTGGCAGCTGAGTCAGTGTTCATAACCAGGTAGGCTATTATCTGCCTAACCCTCTGCAGCTGGGATCCAGCCCCTGAGACCTGCACCCCATTACAGACCTGTATGTGCCATACATGTCCAAACGTAGTCACAGGAGGATTCAGACCAGGCTGGTGGGGACTGGACTGGGTGAAGACAAAGATTTGAGTAAATTAGGAAAGTATCAGGGCTAAAAAAGGAGCCAGATCAACTCTTTCCAGTACCTGATGGGGCCACAGGCTGAAGATGTCATGCTGTCCTCCAACCTGATGGCTAAAGAAGCCAAGTCGTGCATTGCCATTATCAGTAAGTTCAAGAAAAACTTTACCCCCTCCTAAAACATCACTTGTGAGAGTTTCAATTTCGAGATGGTGAATGTGTTGAAGATTTGACCTGGCTTCCATGCCCTACTGCATTCCTGTGACTTCACAACCAGGTTTCATGACGAGATGATATGTGATTACATTGTTTGTGGCATAAGAGACCCCTGCAGATGTTGCAGCTTGATGCTGCTTTGATTCTTGGCAAAGCCATTACAACAGCTAGACAAGCTGAGAGTGTCAAGAAGCAAGAAGAAACACTGTTGGGTCCTGCTTAACCTATAAATAACATGTCACTGCCCAACACCACCTGTCAAAGAAGCACCAACTGTCAACTTGAGACCACAACAGATCTGAACCACATGATTGCAACCACATGGCTAACAATGAGCATAAAACAGCCAGAATCACTTCATGTGTCTGGTGTGGATGTGCCTCTAGGCATCCATGCACTGAATACTCAAAGGGGGGGGTCTACACGTGCATTTAGGCACAACTAAATTTAATGAGCGTTAAGCTAATGCACATTAAACAATTTTCAGCAGGTGTCTGCTCATGCAGAGCCTTGGCACTAAAGTTAGGCCCAAGTCCCTGCAGCCCTGCCATGTGTTCTCATGGCCACCAGGAGGAGCTCCAGCCATGTTGGCAGCCAGCACTTGGCAGCCATGTTGAAGTCAGAGCCAGTTGCCAGGACTTGGCAGCCATCTGGGAAACTGATCCCTGGCCAGCCCCTTCTCTGCCCAGGAGCCACAAGCCCAGTACAGAGGCAGCACAGGGCAGCTCCCTCTTTGCCCAGCCTGCCTCCCTGCACCAGGGCTGCTCCAGCCCCTGCCCCTGCCAGCAACACCCAGCACCCTGCTGCTCCAGCCTGGCCCCTTCCAGCAGGTTCCTGCTGGCCATGGTGCTGGCCCTGCTGTCCCCAGCACACCGCCCCCACTGCCCAGGCCCCAGGACAGCCATGCACATGCCAATGGGGGCCAAGGCACTCCCTACTCCAGCCCGCCTGCCCTAACGCCCCCCCCATCCCGTGCTCATCCCCAGCACCACTCTCACCGCTCTCAGGACTCTCACCACTCTCAAGAAACAAAAAAACTTTATCACCCTCACAACACCCACCCCCATCCCTCTCCCCTCCCTCTTCAACCAAAAGGGCCCCTCAACCACCCACCCCACCCACCAACAATAAAAAACCCACTTACAAGGGGGAAACTATATACAAGGGGAAAACTATTTACAATGTTTTGGGTCTTCAAACCCAGAGTGGGGGTCTGTAAGGGGGTGGCCTAGGGGGCAGGGCCCCAGGGCAGGTGCCCAGCACCCCAACCCCTGGATGTTCTCTGAGGCTGGGTTCAGGCCAGCCCCTTAGTGGCAGGGCA